ATAAGTAGATTTTGGCAGGGTTTATATTTTTAAATCAGGGTCCCTGATTTTCAGCTTCAGCCGTTTCCAGCATCAGCTGCAACATTAATTACTACTGCTTTTCTACTAAGCATTTTTTTAAAACCAAAACTATGACTTATAACTACTATTAAAACCAAATAATAGTAGATAAAGCTAAAAAAAACAGATCACTTTAACTGGTCTTGTTATATTATATACTGACAATGCTCTTTTAATCACAATTTACTAAATTATATTTAATTTCCTTTATTAATTTTAATTTATATACTAGTTGCTCTCTTAATTTTAAATTTATTGCCAATAAATATATACTATTTATTTCTATTAATTTAGCTTCTAAATTCTTTTTTATTAACAATTTTTAAAACAAAATTATTAAACCTTATACCAACTTTCTAGACTTAGTATACTCTATTGCTATTCAGCACTCTTTTACATTTTATCTGCTTCTAATATTTCTTATAACTCTGCTTTAATTCTATTTATATTCAAATTTGGATCTCTTACTAATGCTCTTCAAACTATTGTTAACTCTAATATTCAACTTTCTAAAATTACTTTCTATACAAATAGCTTTGTTTTAAAATTTGGTATACCAAATTGCTTTATAGACATCAGATAGATACAAATGCACTAAAGTAATTTACTAAATTAATTTAAACACAAATTAAATACTAGATATATTTTTTTAAAGCAGAACTTGTTACTATATTATTAGCAATTTGTATAGTATCTAGATTTTGTGCTATTTATATCTTTACTAATTTACAATCTTATTTCAAATTTCTTTTCTTTAAGCTATATAAAATTTATAACTCTAATTATATACTTTAATTTGATGAATATCTTTTAAAGTTACTAATTTAGTACATTATTTGTATTATTTGCTATGTACAAATTTATGCACTGTGGTTATTTTAATACAGATTTTAATAGTAGTTTTAAATTACTACAAATATCAACTAATTTGCTATATAGCTTTATATAAACAATAATTAAAAAATCTCTAATTCTTTATATAGTTTCTAATTTTCTATTTTTAAATCTTTTGAATAAAATCTTTTTGATAAGCTGCTTACTTCCCAAATATAATTATCACCTTTTATCTAATTGTTACTATTGCAACCAGACTAATACTTTACTATACTAAGTTACTTATCTATCAACTATACTACCTCAAAACCTTATTGACAATACACTACAACTGGTTGTTAATTCAACATCATTAGATATTTTACTAAAATTAATCAGTATACTTTATAATCAATTAAAAACCTAGATAGTATATTATTCTATCACAATTACTATATCTTATCTATTAACTTTACCTTATTTGGTCTGTCCCTTTTATATAATAAATCTAATTAAAAATATTACATCATCTTCTAAGTTAGCTTCTATAATTACTATAAAAATTTTTTATATATCTCAATTCACAAATTTATCACAATATTTGAATACCTTATTTTGCTTCTTGTTTCTTGATTTAATTTTATAATAATACTGTACCTTCTCTATTTTCTTCTTTATATTTTCAATTTCTTTAGCTTCACTATTTCTATTTTTTATTTTAGCTAGAGCCAAAATAGAACTTTAGTATTCTTTATAGATCAAATATTAAACAAACTTTAATTATATAATTACTAATCTACAAATCTGGTTATACTACAGAATCCTAACATTCAAAATCCCAATATACAAAATCTCGACAAACAAAATCCCAACATCAAAATCCTGATACTGCCAAAATATTTATAGTAGCACTATTAAGATTTTAATAGTGTCAGGATTTTGTTATTGTGATTTTGTTTGTTGAGATTTTGTATATTAGGATTTTAAATGTCAGGATTCTGTAATATAACCTACAAATCTAGATAAGCTATAATACTCTAGTTAGTCTAAATCATAAATAAATTAGACTGTGTTTTTTTTTATCTTAGAATATGAAATTTAAATTATTCTTTTCTTTGTATATTAGTTGTATATTCTTTATTTTGTAAAAGTATTAAATTAAATTTTAATAAAATAAAAATATTGATTTTCATTAATATTTAAAAAAAACAGATATCTATTAAAATTTAAATTTATTATAATATAAAAATTTAAAATTTTAAAATATTTTTATTTATTTTTTTAAATTAGATTCAAATTCTAAAAAAAATATAATTTTTTATAATTTTTGTAAAATTTAATTTTTTATTTATTTATTAATCAAAATATTTTAGAAAATTCGTTTAAAATTAATTAGAAATATAATTATAATCTATGTTTTTTCAAATTTTATAAAGTTGTTTATAAAATAAAAATAGAGAAATTTAAAAATTTTAACCAAAAAATTATTAGTAATTTTTTAAATATTAGGGTGTGGTGGCTTAGTGAAGTTGGCAAGTTGTTACATCCCCAAGTGGCAGAACCAGAGTTCGAATCCTACTGATAATAAAAATTTGAATTTATGGAAAATGCATTTGGAAGATTGTATCCTATTGGGTTATAGAACCTGTAACAGAGTTGCACCAGCTTGTATTGGAAGGTTCAGGGGTAATTGTCCTCAGTCATACAAATTACAAATCACTTTTAAAATATTTCTAACCAATCAAAGTTGTCATCACATTTGATAAAAAAAAAATTTTGTGTATTTTTTAATACTTTTGGGAGGTTTGTATAATCTATCTTTGCTAAGAAATATAAAATATACTAATCAAACATTAAAGCTTTCATACTATATTTCAATAATATCAGTTGAATCTATTTGAATTTAACAACTTTTATATTATGTTTCACCTAGCAAAGTTTATACAAGACATATATAAAAATATGCATTATGTAAAGGTTAAACCACCAGATTGTCAAGATTCAGTTCATTAAACAAAAAACAAGCTGAAAGCAACAACTCGAAAAAGGTACAACATATGTTTTGTAATGTTAGAATATATTTTTATTATATGTTTAGCATTAATGTTTAACAATATTTCAATTAATTATATAAATAATAATATAGTGTTTTATTAATTTTCTTTTTATTATATGATTGTTTAAAATATTATGAGAAATATATACTTGTATACTTGAGATTTGAGCCTAGCATATTATTTAGAATGTATATATATATATTGTATATAAATATATATATATGTATTGTATATGCTAATAAAATAATAGTTAAATTATAAATGAGAAGTTGGGTTTTAAATTAAACATAGTTCGAATATAGAAATAAAATAAAAAATTTTTGTATAACTAGTTAAAACTAACTTATGTAGTTAACCGCTAGTTTGTAACTAATATAGGTAGTTTTTAACGGCTTTAACATCCCTAATATGACCTATAAAAAATATGATGACAATTTTATGATCATATCGTCACACTTGGCCACTTTGATGGGTAGGCATCTTATATAGTATTACCAAAGTAGTGATGTTCTCCATGTCACTTGAAGTGACGTGAATCTTGCATTTTGCATTTTTCACGTCACTCAAATGATGCATGATTTTTGTTTGGGGTTTATATAATTTTCCCGACACCTGATTTCACCGACACCACTTTTCCGACACTCATTTTCCAGACAGTATTATTTTGCCGACAAAATATTTAACCGACAATATCATTTTCCCGACAATTATTACCCCTAACCCCAACATAACTCGAGAAAATGATAGTAAAATGATTGTCGGGAAGAATCACTGTCGTTGAAATGATACAGTCGGGTAAATATTTTGTCGGGAAAATGGTTGTTGAGAAAATTATATTGTCGGCAAAATAATACTGTCGGGGAAATGAATGTCGGGAAAGTGGCGTCGGTGAAATCAGGTGTCGGAAAATGAGTGTCGGCAAAATTAGTGCCACCTTTTTGTTTACCACATCATTTGAGCCATGGCCCGAATAAGCATGAAGTGCTTTAGTATTCTATACGTCATTTAAGTGATTCGAGGAATAAGAAATGCAAGTCATTCGAATGACGAAGATTGTGTTTTTCACGTCATTTAAGGAGGCACAGACCACAGGAATATGTGTCAACGCGGTGCCATGGCTTGATAACCAGTTGGCTACGTATCACATCATCGTTCGCTCGGAGTTTTGCGTTACATTTATTTATCACGTTTAAATTTAAAATTATAGCAAATAGAGATCTAAAAGCCAATCTTATTCTTATATAGCATATGCTTTAAAAAGAAATCATAAATATTATGAAAAGATCTCATTATCGGAACTATTCTAAGGGTATTCAGCTAACTTGTAAGGGTATTCAGCTAATTCCCCCTGGCCATCATAATAAGAGTACGAAATATTATAATAACGAAGAAGGACACCTAATGCTAATACTTCATTCACACTCCAGTCCCGTGCATCAATTTCAATATCCTTGTCGTGACCATGCAATTTTTTTGACGCAGTGTGATAGAGACCACCCATACATCTTTCGACATCTTTGTATTGAGAATTATTAAGTGAGCATGTTTGCTTTAAATATGATATAAACTTTGCATCTTGAGTCAGCCTCATCAAAACATTGTCTGTAGGTTCGCGAAATGAGATAGTTTTGTCCTGTGACCGAATCTATCGAGAGAAAAGATATGTAAAATAAAATATGATAATAACATTGCAAAATACATAAACAAATATGCAGAATGCTACCATTGATCTGATGAACTCTAAAGCACCTCTCACATTACACATCCTTTTTGATCGTAAAAGAAGTTCAGTGCGGTCTTTGACATCATGCTCAAGATTCGTAATATGTTTTGATAGTTCCACTTTTTCCTGCATTAAATCCATTTTTTCACGTTCTTTTTTTTCCATTAAATCTTTCGTTAAATCCAATTTTTCACGTTCTTTTTTTTCCATTAAATCTTTCGTTAAATCCAATTTTTCACGTTCTTTTTCACGCATTAAATCCACTTTTTCACGTTCTTTTTTTTCCATTAAAGCCACTGTTTCACGCATTAAATCCACTTTTTCACGTTCTTTTTTTTCTATTAAATCATTCGTTATAGCCACAGCGAAATTCACGATTTTCGATGCAACTTTTGAATCTTTGGGTAATTCGTCAAGAATTGGTGATAAGTCATAGGATGATAATCTACGTTGTGGCCACAAGGGACGATAGAGCTGTATCTAATAAATAACGTTTTAAGTGTTTGTTCGAATGAAATAGAAAATGTATAAGGTGTCTCACTTACTTACCAGAGGCCTTAGCAATCTTAAGCGTGAAATCATTTTAATAAATTTGCGAGAAATTTTTTATTTGTATAGAAATTTGGTCAAAGATCAACGGCGCGAATAGTTGGGGTGTCCAATGTACTATGTAGATCAAACATATGTATAGTCTCATGAGTATATCAGGGCGGCCCCCCCAAAGTACTGGTCGATGATCGACGTCGGGTCGATGATCGACGCTGGATCGATGAT